TTATCTTGTACTTTTTAGTTTCAAAGATTAGGAGGTTGGTCCACATGATTTAAACTGTCAGTCAACAGTGTGTATGTATTCATTAATGTAACCTTATCTACTTCCTCAATCAATTATGCCACATAATATAGTGTCCTTTTTCAGCATTTACATTGTATAATAAGAATGTCCTCTGATATTTGTATGACTAAACTTAAAAAATGTGTTAATCATAAAAGGCTTTTGTTCCTGTTGCATAGACTACAGTATAATGTCAGATAAATATTACAGACATGTTTGCTGTGTACTGTACATATGGTATTTAGGAGCATGTGGAAACATCACTAAGTTGCTTTTATTACAATGAAACAGTAATTTCAACAGATTAGTCCTTTCCCTCGGTACAGTCCTATGTCTTGCTGCTTATCATCCTTTTAAGCGTATAAACCAGCAGTGCATAATTGACTTCTTCATCTTTTAACAATTAACTCTCAATACAGACAGCAAATACACTTTGTTCCAAAATCCAGTGTCCGATTCCCTTTCACTCACATGCTTCTAGACAGCTACAAAGTAAGGAGCTACAGAGCTGGGGACCTGTGATAGCCAGGGCAGAGAAAGGAGCCTGTACCTGTATGTCTAGGCAGGCAGTCACCAGTGACACATTCTAGGTGCAGAGCTTCAAGAGAACATCTGCTCTGACAAGATGAACGTTTTCAGACAACCCATGCAACCTTCCTACAAGTGATACAAGGGGCAAAAATTATCTAATTGCATACAGGACGTTAATCAGCATACACAGAAAAAAAAGGTTGGTAAGCAAATGCTTTCCATTTTCATTCAGATGGTGAAAAAGGAGCTGGGTATAAAATCAGCTGAATTATAATATTGGCATTTTTAATAGATGATTCCTTGTTTTATATAAAACAATGTCCACTGTATGCATCAGAAGTGAATTTAGAGACATATTTTTGTTTGCTTGCATTAAAATTTTCTGAAGCTCTGCTTCAATCAGAGAAACATCTCAGTCTATTCTTACTAATTATGTGGTGAGCTTCAAAACTCAGATTTTGCTGCCTATTGATTAGATTGCTTTTAGCAAAGGTAGCATGTTGTTTCACTGAAAAAGCTGATGGATTACTTGGAAGACAGAATTCTTACCATAATTCTTGGTAAATATTTGGGCTCCCTTTACTTAAAAACCTCCCCTGTTTGTCATTATTCATGTGGTTGCCAGAAAAGTATGAAAAATAGTCCATTGTATTTTGATGACCACTGACTACCTCCTTTTGAATTTTATTTCATTTTCTAAAGAGATAGTTAAAATAGTAGATACTTAAAAATATCAGTTCTCATTAAAAGGAAATGTTTTCGATCCTTGTGATTGCAGAGGAACAGCTGAAAAAAAAAGGACTGATAAAGCAGAGAGAGTAAGTAAACAAAACCCTGCTTTTCCCTGCTTTCTGACTCTATGGAACAAAAAAACCATGACAAACTAAACCTAGTGAGTTTAGTAACCAATTAAGTAATTAATTAAATTGAAATTTTGTGCTTGCAAATGTCAAAGCAGAGGTTATGTGACAATTGCTCAAAACACTAAGTCTTCTAAAATACTATTTCCCCCTTGCAAAGTTCATATGAAAGAAAATCTTGTAAGCACTTTTAAGGTCATCATTGTAACATTAACTATGAGGACAGTTACAGAAAGTCTTTCTTTTTCAGAAACAGGTATTTCAGAGACATCTCATATTCCTTAGAGAGCTAGGACATGAAGGCATAGAGGCCAACACATAGGGCTGTTTACATTCCCCTGGGACTGGAAAACATGTCTGGATAGCCTTGCTGGATCTTTAAATGACTGAATGATTTTTGTGCTATTGCTCTCTCCAGTACATTCCTTGCCTCCCAGAGTTACCCTTCTTGTGCAAGCAAAGCTGCAGACGGGTTGTAGCCTGTGTCTCAGGCAGCAACTCTGTTGTCCTGTTTTCCTTTTCTCTAACAGAATAATGCCAGATCAGAACCAGACAAAGAAAAAGGGAGTTCCAACTGAGAAGAGCTAGCAGTCATTTTCCATTGGATTAATATTTCTTTGGAGTAGAATGCTCTCAACAGATTAAGACTAAGGACTGGAAATAACCAGACTGCACATTAATTAAAATCAGGCTAAAGGAATTACTCACTTATTTTAAGATAATTGTTCAAATGCACTTTCCAAGACTGCAAGTAAATTTACCAAAGAAAACATGAGAAAATATCCTAGAGCATCCAAGGCTGGATGGAGCTCTGAACAGCCTGGTCCAGTGCGAGGTGGTCCATGGCAGGGAAGATGGAATTAGGCCATGTGTAAGGTCCTTTCCAACCCAAACCATTCTATGATATTCTTTGCGGACTTATTGGACTAAGTTTATTTCTGACCATGCTGAGATAAAAATCTTGATACACATGCAAAAAAATTCCACTTCATAGAAAATTGGTGAAAATAATGCAAACAAGAGATAACACAATCAGACTTCATACTTTGACAGACTTCTCTAAAAAACCCAAATGCAACCAAACAAACAAACCATGTCAGAACTTGAAAGTAACTTAGTAGCTGATATTGTGAGAAGGAAACAAAAGATTTGGTTAGACTGCAGATTAAGCATGCATTTAATACCTCCTTGGAAACAGCTGGTTTACAGCAAAATCAAGACCTACTTATCATAGCACATGATTTTTTTTTCCCAAAGTGTTTTGAATTTGTCAGAATTGAGAAAACATTTCATTGTTCTGAGCAGCCCCTTCATTTGGAATGTAATTTAACTTCCTGTGCATATACTTTTCTGGATGCTTTGGAGAAACCTTACAAGCAATAATCAAAACCAAGCTAGGTTGTATTGCCAGAATACTGCAGACAAAAGCAAGCATCAAGCTTTCCATTCCAGGCATACAGCAGGTGACAACAGTATGATTTCTGCACTGCAGCTGGCTGTAGGACTGTAGTCTCTCTGAGAGAGATGCATGCTCTTTTACAATAGTCACTCTTTCATAAAATTCACTCCTTCTCTCTATGCTCTATATTTTCCCTTTAATTCTCTTTGTTTTCTGCTCCATAAATAGTATTTTACTCAAACAATTCTAAAACAAAAATTTATGAGCCTTGCCAATCACATTCAAGTGAGAAAACTAATCCTGACACACCTTTGAGGACTAATTTTTTTCCCTGTTGCCTGCTTATTTTTCCCTCCATCTTTTGGTTTTTTTTATTTTGTTTTTTTACTTTGAATGCTTACTTATACACCATGGCTAATTTTGGCTATAGAAGTAATATAAAAATGCTAAAAGAAAGCTAGGGATGAAACCTAGTCTAACATCATCATCCCTTTTATTTATTTTCTCTTGAGGTTGTGTATTTATTGGTTCAGTTTATGAAGTCTGCCAGTTTGACTTTGCCTGGAGCTAAATTTAGTGGTTGATTAATTTCAGTGAATCTTGCATGCTGGCAAAGAAAGCTGAGTAAAGGTTTCCAAATCATAGGCAAGCCATGACACTCAGGAGGTCTTCTGTTTGTGCCCTTGGCCATTAAACAGTAGCATTCTGAGAAAGGCAGAAAGGCAATGAAGGAGCCATATGAGCTGAAACACAGGATCTTCTAATGGCATATCTATTGTAAGAATGAACTTGCAGCTACTTCAATTGTTTCTTCACATAGAAAGATAAGACATTTGGCCAGATAGGTAACACAGTGTAATCAAGAAGAACTGACAGATTTCAAGGTAACTATGAATGTCTCGTTACAAACTTCAGGACTTCAGGAATTGATGGGTTTAGAATTTTTGCTTAGAACATCAAAACATTGTGCCTCACATGCTTTAACTTCATTTATATGTTTATGTTCCATTAATGCCATGATGCTTTCATTTCTAAGTTGCTCTTTTACCAATACATTTCATATGCCTTATGGTTCATACAAGATCTTGCTTTCTGCAAGAATTCCCCTGAATTTTACAAGTATATTCATTGAATATTGTTTAAAATGTGAACAAGCTTGAGGAATATAACAAAAGTATAGCTTGTCAGTAAGATATTTTTAAACTACAGAGTGGAGGTCACCCCATGAAGAAAAGCATCTCAGTCTGCTGAAGTGTTCCTGAATCCCAGATTGTCACATAAGGATTTTCAAATATTTGTAGTAATCATGGCTGAAACTTTAAAAAGGAGTCTGGTCAACGCTACTGATATTATGTTCTAAGGATCTTGCATGATCTTCACAAGTTGTCCCCTCTGACTGTTTGAAAATATGACAATTAATTTTTGCCTGAAATACTTTACAGAAGTAAATAATTGTTATGCTATAAAGGTTGTTTTCCAAACCTCAGTTTGTGTTTGTGCATGATTTTGTTTGAGACTGCGGGATGCTATTGTAAATAATGTAAATAATATAAATATTGCAAAATTATTATTCACCATTTATTGCAAATGCCAGAAAATCCTGTGGTGAAAACTGGATACTTCAGAAGATGCAGAAGTTTCACAGTATGCTGCCTGCAATTTGTGTATGTTCAGTCTGTTGATCAGACTGTTCAAACTTTTGGTCTCAAATGGTCTCAAATTCTATCAGAGCAGAAAATACAACTTAGGCAGCAAAAAAATAACATTTGGTGCATCTTACAGGTGTATTGTATGAAACATACTTTCATATTATACATATGATAGTATATGCCTGGCCTCTTTGTTTTCACCTTTTTTTTAGGGCTTGTCACGGGACAGTAAAAAATCTAGACATAGTTTTGATTACGAGTTAAAAATCCTGCAAAATCCTTTATTTATTCTTAACTCCCTTTTTCTTGCTTGTACTCTTGTGGGTCTTTTTATTCTAGTAAATGCCAATAAGGTATTTTTGACTGTTCTCAAATTAACTGCTGGAATTTTAATTAGCTTGTTAACTTTCAGTCTATGTCTTAAAACTCAGTGTTAATTATTATAATGTATGTATTTTATATGTTTGAGGTCACTAAATACATTATTGCCCTGTTCCAAGCATGCTATGCACGTGGATTTCAACAGTTGCCGGAGGAATAGTGGTGCTGTGTGTCTCCCTGAAGATCTTTCTCCCCTATTTCTGGGCAGACCTGATCTATTTCTTGAGATGGAAGAGGTCAAAGGCAACAGTAAAAAAGTGGGCAAAAAATGGAATTCTCTCCATGATTGACCTTTTCAGGCAGACAGTGGAAACAAATCCCCACAAGCCATTCCTTATCTATGAAGGGACTGTGTACACCTATCAAGATGTGGACAGGAGGAGTAACAGGGTAGCACAGGCCTTCCTGCACCACGGGAATCTGAAAAAAGGTGACACTGTGGCCCTGCTGATGGGTAATGGACCTGACTTCATCCATGTCTGGTTCGGGCTGGCCAAGCTGGGCTTCATCGTGGCCTTTCTCAACATCAATATCCGCTCAAGATCTCTCCTGAACTGTATTAATACCTGCGCAGCAAAAGCACTGGTGATAGGAGAAGGTAAGTTCTGTATTGTGCTTCACTTACTGCTCACTTTCTACTGTTTCCTGCTCTTATCAAACATAAAAAATTAGAGCCCTTCAGAGCTGCAAGCTCTTTATATATACACACACTTAAAAGGAGGGAAGAAAAGGAGGGGAAAAAGTAAGGAAAGAGATAGTGTTGTCTAAAAAGAAGAGTAAAGAGATAATGTTTAAATTTCAAGGGTATAAGCACAAAATAAGCCCTATGCAATTAATTAGTAAAATAAAAAGCTTAAATGTGAAACTCTCCAAGTACTGGACAAGGTACCAGGAGCAATAATCATGCATCAGCATGAAAACAGCCTTGGGAGATACTTTAGCATAATTTCATTTCCATTTCCCTTTATTCGTTTATGTGGCTTATATAAAACTTCACTGACTAGAGGAAGACATAGATGCCTTTTGTAATTGTGAATTCCTTCAGCTCAAAATACCCACATAAAAATTTATGTTACTTTGTAACTACTTTAAGTAGTGATCACAAGCTAGCATTGCTTGGAGCAAACATTACAGCCCAATGAGCTGCAGTTTTTTCCCTGTTTATGGCATATTATGCAATACTAGGCAAGTTATTTAACTTTCTACTCTTGTTTTCCCATCTTTTATACAGGTTGGCAGTACTACCATAATTCCATATGAATCTGTGAGGGTTTGTTGTTTGGCATATGCGTCAAGCTTCAGAACAAATGCGATTAAATTAAATCCTATATACTAGCATCACCAACTAAGTTCATGGTGTTTTATCAATTACAATTAAAGCCACATGAGAAATATAGGGAAATTAAACATTATGATGATTTTTTTCACTGTCCAGTAGGCAGGTTAGCCCTCCTATGGCTGCGGTAGGTTTATACAGTAGTATGATATATAATTTCAGTGCTAGTAATCAGGTCTGCAGTTGTATTTATTTTAATAATTACCATGGGTTTGGTTTTGTTTGTTTGTTTGTTTGTTTTTTTGCTTTAACTTGGCAGACTGTTTGGGATCAATAGAGAAGGAATTTATTTTGAATCTTTCGGAAAATAATGTTGCTGTCTGGCTGATGAGCGCCAGTTCTCCTTTCCAGCATGTTCACACCCTACCAGACAAACTAGACAAGGTGCCTGATAATCCTGTTCCATCTCATCTTAGAGCTGTCACTGACACAAGAAACACAGCTCTGTATATCTTCACATCAGGGAGTACAGGTAAGGATATGTACTAACAAGGTACAGCTGCGCCTCTGAAAATTTAGGCAGTATAAATTAAGCAAAAAGACACAAAAAGACAGAACTTGAATTTCCAAGTCAAGACAGGGAGGATTAATTTATTTAGAAGCACAGTACACTTCAAACCGTTTTTGCCATAGCTTAACAAGAGCATAATTTCAGTTACTGAACTTCTACATGGATACTCCATGGCTGAAATTACTTTCTGGAATATAAAGCAAATAAAGTCAGTCTCTAAGAGTTGCATAGAAAAGGAAGAGCAGTGGAACCTTTGCTTTTGCTTCTGAAATAGGAGTTATTTTTAGAGTGATAGAATGGGGAAATCTGTCCACTAGTCAATCCAAACAACTTCCTAGAAGTTATTTCTATTGCAAGTAGAAGCTATTTCTATTGCAAGTAGAGTGACACAGTGGGTCTCCAGAAGTTCTCCCGTTCTCACTTTCTGGCAAGGAAAACCTGTATGCAGAGTTGGCCTGTGAAGGGCATGGACTTTGTCCCCAGATGAAACAGACGTGGCAGGGGGGTTGGTAGTACATTATCTTGCACTATCATTATCCCTTCCAACCCTAACCACTATGATTGAATAGTTTAACAGGGAGAAAGAGTGAAGGAGCTGAGAGACTAAGGAGAAACAAAACAGCAAAGCACAGGAGGAAGACTCAGAAGAAGAGGATTCTCCCTGTACATTCCCAACATAATTCTACTTAGAGCAAAATTATTAATGTGTGCAGTACATTTATAGTTATCTGCTCTTTCCCTTTGACAGGTTTCCCAAAAGCTGCTGTCATCACTCATCGCAGAACTCTGGTTGCCTCCTTAGCATTGACTCAGTGTGGTGCGGTTTCTCAGGATATTATGTATGTCACTCTTCCCTTGTACCACATCAGTGCTTCTCTTCTTGGCATCAGTGGATGCATTCAGTTAGGTAATATTTACCTTCTAGTGAAGTTTCATTAACTTGACGAGGCTATAACATGTTAGTGTTAGGTGAATAACTGCTTGGTAACTCAAATATTATGTTTACAAAAAAGACTTTTGTAATTTTATCATTTTTATCACCTGTGCCATTTGCAGACAAGTAGAACAACATCTAAGGTGTATGCATAGTTTTTGAAGCTTAGAACAGACTCTAATTGTTGTATAAATCCAGCATAAAATTACTTGAGGTCTGTGTCTTGTTAGCACCACTGCATACATTCTGTAGGTTTAACCTGAAATCATATTTCTACCCTATGCCCAAAGTCTGTAAAGGCATGCACACAGACATCTGAGGCTTGATTTTTAGTGTCAGAAACTATAAATGCATTGTGAAAGCCCAGCCTTCAGAATAAGATTGACTAAATATGTTGTGGAGCTTTTTCAGTCTCTTATTTGAGCAAGACCTACAGAGTTACATTCATCATATTAAGGTGGAAAACAGGAAGAAGGACAAAATCTCCTCTTCTAAATTTGATAATGGGAGTTATTTGTAGAGAGATGGCAAACAGATATTTCCCAGGTATGTCCTTTTCTGTTGTTAGTCTTGCCCAGATGCTGGGTTTTGGCATGCTAAGTATATAACTGGAGTGTTTTAAAAGACATTTCAGTGTTTTGTTTATTCAGAAACAAGGCAGGCAGGCATGCTGGCTTACAGTAACCGCTGGCAAGGCTGCTTCTGCCTAACAGAAACACAAAGGGGATGGGAAAATGAGTCTATGAAAAGGTTTGAGGCTATGAATTTTCGTGGAACAGAAAATGTAGGATCACATCTTTCTTCGGTGTTTAGATAGAGATCTGGGAGTCGGATTTGAATGACAAAGCTTTGAGGAGGGTGAGGCTGAAGAGCTCTGAAAGGTTTCAAGATCAGGGAAGAACTGGCAAGCTGGGAAAAGTGGACTAGAAGGGATTAAAAATTTGGAAGTCCCTGGGAAGCCTCACGCAGGACAAACATGACTTGGGCAAAAAGGAATTTTTGAAAGGATAGAAACAGGGAAATTTGTAAATTCTTGACTAACAACACATAGGAAGGGATGGGGTGGCAGATATGAGAGGTGTAGTATGAAGTGGCTTTTAGAATGCAAAGCTCTAAAAGAACATGAGGGTCACAGAAAAAAAAAATAGCGTTGATTCTCAGTTGTCAAGGAACAGAAAAAGGGGAATTAAACAGAAACAAAAAAGACTCAGCCCATTTCCTTTCCACCACTTGTCACACAAATAGAGAAGCTGTGAGCTATCATTTCCCCCATTCCAAGATCTTCTTTTTTCGGAGTTAAACTGGTTCATGATCTTGACAGAAAAAACATTGTTTAGGCTGTGACCTATTCCTAACAATGGGAGATCATTAAAAGCTTTGGTTCTGTTGCTTCTGTTACTCTAATTTTTTAGTTACTACTCGAAAAAGAAGCAAGGCTCAATTGCGCAAGTTTCATTAAACAGACAGATCCTATTGGAAATAGCTTACAATTTATTTCAATTTATTTAATGTGCTGAATTAATCATTAACTGAATTAAGAGAATGACAACGTGGGATATGGTTGTTTTTTTGGGTTTTTTTTTTTTTGTTTGTTTGTTTTTTTTTTTTTTTTTTGTTACAATAGTGGTAAAACATAAGGGGTTTATTTTAAAGTTTGTTTTGAAATTTCTTATCTGTTTTCATCACATAGGAGCGACCTGTGTTTTGAAGAAGAAATTTTCTGCGAGCCAGTTTTGGAATGACTGTAGGAAATACAATGTTACCATGTTTCTGTATATAGGAGAACTCTGCCGCTATCTCTGCAATCAGCCCTGTGTAAGTTCCAGTTGCAAATACAGCTTTAAGATATAGCAAATCTGAAAGTCAGACAGATTCACTCATTTCTGAATGGTTTAGTATTTTCAATGTTTGATAGCTTTTTACAGTGTGTACAGAATTTGGGTTTCGTGTTCCTTGCTATTACCAATAGCATCAAGTTTACACCAGGAAATGAAGTGGTGACAAAGGAACAAGCCTGGAAGGATAGGGTACACATACCTGACACTCACAGAAGTGCCTCTGCAAAGCCAGGCGTGTTGGCTTTTCATCTGAGTGACCAGCAAGTCACAAGTCAGTCAGGAAAAGGTATAAGCTGTAAAAGTTTAATCATACATGATCCCAAACAGGAGTCTGAACCAGACTGAAATATTAAACAATTTCAGTGCCCGGTTCCAAAGTAATTCTTTATCAAGAGAGGCCTATTATGTTCAGCATTTCATGGATGATAGTTAATTTTTAACTTTGAAATTGATGAATGAGTTTTTATTATTTTAAATCTTTTTCTTGGAGGTCTTCCAAAGGCACATTCTCTTCCATCCCTGTATATATGATGATGGATATATCTGTATGAAGCCAAAGTTCTAATACTAACAGTGTGGTGCAAAATCTTGATCCCCCTGAGATAACAGTCCTAAAGATAAGGACAAGTAAATCATAATCAGGTTTGGAACAAAGTAAAATGTCACCAAACAGTGACAAGTAAATCTGAAAATACTTACTAAGTTGGAACTCTCATTTCTCAATGACAGCTTGGTTAATTTTTTGGGAAAGCTTGGTTAATTTTTTTAATTTTATGCTTGGGAGTTAGGATATTACTGAAGGGAGGTGACAAGAAATATTGCTACTTACCTCAAAAAACCTCATGTACAAGCACAAAATTCAAATGATCTCCAATGGTATTGGTCAGAGATTGATGCAAGGACTAAGAACAAGGAAATATCTGAAAGAATTGTCCAGCTGGTTTGAACAGAATCTTATTATTAGGTGGTCTGGATGTAGGAGAGGGATCAAAGACAAAAAGTACTAAAGGGTAGAAGACAGGATAGCTGTTGGCCAGGACTCAAGCCTGTACAAACAAGCCTGAAACAACGCAAGCCTGGCCAACAGCTACTACTGTATCAGCAGTCCATGGATCAAGAAACCACAAAGGAATAATTAGCTAGGCCAAACCAGTTGTGTAAAGGTTTCTCCTGCAGGAAAAAGCAATGAGAAATATCTTTTCTTGACTCAATAACAAAAATTTATCAGAGAAGAAATAGATACTTAACTGGCAACTGGTAAGAGGGAAAAACAGAGACGGCCTGGATGAGTTGAGGAAGGTGAAGTTGCTAACAGAAGTGGATCAGGTGCATCAGGAGCTCTGTCAAGATCACGTACCTTACTAAACTATGACCACATATAACATATAGCCAGATGTTATATACATATATAACATATAACTTCTACTGTACCACCCAGGTTCATCTACACTGAGAGAAACCCAAGCAGGGTAATAGGTCTGGTGTGGTTCAGGACTAGGACTGAACATGAGGGACCTGTTTGAGTATGCTCTACATCATACACAGGCGTCTGTCCTTCCCTCCTTTCACTGAGCATGCCCAGGTCTCACAATCTGTGAAAGAAACATGGATTTGGAAACTAGGAGGCACTTGGGGATTTCTTCATGTGGACAGAAACTGTGACTAATTACATCTACTGCAAGATAACCAGCCTCATGTACCTATCAGAAGTAAATATTAAGCCCATAGAAGGTAACAAAATACTGAGAAAGCATGTCAAAGAATGTTTTTAAAGGGAACCATGTAACTTTTAAATAAAGACATTTAAAATTCAAGGTAGTTCAGGGAAATGCTGCAGATTGTTGAACCAGGCATGAACCAAGGTAAGAATAACAGTTTCTCCTATTACTTGTAATCTCTCAAACTCTTGAGTTTTACATCAAGTCTTACAGTATCACAAAATACCTTGGGGAAAAAATCAAAACCCGTCATTTCATCCTGAAGACAAAGTGCTGAAGAAGAGACAATATTATGTATGAAGGAAGTCTCCCAGTCAGCCTCCCAGCTGGTTTAAAATTGAGTTGGATTGCATACATGTGATCAAAACATTTATTCCTTCAGAGTTACCATTAAAATTGCAAAAGAAAACACATCTGATTAGGCAGAAGCAAGGGATATCAAACTCCAGTTTGACTCCTGTGTTTAACAGTGAGGTTTAGTCTGCATTACGGTTGATCCTGTCACAGCAAATAATTAATCTGCCATAAAATGAAGTTCTGGATCAAATGAAGTTGTCTGCTAATACATAGTTCACAAAACAATTTTATGTGAATGTTTTTGAAAGTCAAAAGTTTGAAACTCTACTAAAACATTTCAGTGTAATTACAAGGCAAAGTTCCATCTTTAAATCACCTTAATATTATTTAGAAATCAAACATAATTTTGCAGTTTTAAAGATTAGAATGACACTGCAACAAAACCAAAATGCATTTATTTGATTTGAAGAAACCATTCCTGTTGACCTGAAATAAGTTTATTTTCTGCTGACGTTTAGCCATAACAGTAACTTCATTACTCAATCCCAAATACACCTCCAAAAAAGTGGGGGCTTCTGAGAGTCTTGAACACAGCCCTATAGACAGGGGGCTGAACAGTCTGCTCCTATGGAGACAGCACTTGTGTAAGTAAACTTTTTAATAGTTTACCACAATAATTACATCACTAGCATGTAACAATAACACATTAGCAACTACATTTTGACTGCAGATTTTATTATAATCTTTTGATGAATCCGGATTTAAGATTAAAATTGAACCTAATAATATGAGGTATTTTAAGCAGCTTTGAGTTATTCTGCTGATTTTTCAGGTTCCATAAGGAACATGGCAGATGTGCAAAATTTTCTACCAAGTATCATTACAAAAAGAATCGACCTTTGTGTATCACAAGTGTTTTCTAAGGCACAATTTTGTTGATACAGGAAAACTTCTCTTTTTGGTGGGAAAGGAAGTTCTGTTCTATGGGAAATGGCACTTCCTCAAAACTTATTTATTTACAGTTAAAATCTTTCTAACTTTGTAATATACATCCTCATTATAGAGTTCATAAGTGAAAATTCAAATAATTACAGAAATAAAGTTTTCACCCTGCAAAAACCCTTCAACCTCAGACCAAGATTTCATATGCTTTTCTGTTTTATTTTAAAAAACAACAACAACAACAACAAAACCGTTCTGTGAAGCATTTTAGTCAAGGTGGCAGTTCACAAATGAAAATTGTTCTATTAGAAAGTATCAGGTCAATTTTAGGTATTTAGATCCACTTTTCCCAGCAACAGAGTGTTTATGTTTTCTGCTCACAGAAAGAAGAGGACAGAGTTCATGAAGTGCGCATTGCTCTTGGAAATGGCATTAGACCTTCTGTATGGAAAGAATTTCTGATGAGGTTTGGCCCAGTTAAAATATTTGAATTCTATGGGTCCACAGAAGGAAGTCTTGGTTTCCTGAACTACACTAATAAAATAGGAGCTGTGGGCCGTGCTGGCATCTTCTCAAAGGTAAGAGTAAGGGTTATGAAATCAACCAACCAATCAACCAATTAACTGTACAATAATTTTAAAAAATTAAAAGGCATGGGAAAGGCAGAAATTATAAAGAACAGGAAGGAAGAAAATGCTTCCTTCTTTCCAGATACAATAATAATCATTGGTTTATGAAAACAGAAGCCTTATTCTTGCCTGCTTCCTTGACTCTATTCTCTTTACACATATTTTGAAGCCACAGTAAATATACACAATGAGTACATAGAAGCTTGTGTACACAACTTTTCCCCCAGAATATATTAAAAAACCAGACTGACTGTGTAGAAATGACTACCCACAAGACTGGGCAATGACAATTTTTGTTAAAGTTTACTTATCGTTCTGAAAACCCACATATAATAAATGATGAGGCCAGAAACTAGTTTTGATTTGACTTTTGGTATGAATCAGGAGATAGATATTCCAAAGCAAACTTAAACAATTTTGTTCTTTTGCTGCATCTTATTTCTCTGAGATAAGATTAGCAAAACAAAAAAATTCAAAAGTCTCAGCAAATGGAGTAGAAAAATATTAATCTCAAAGTATCTAAGCTATACATTTACATATACAACCGCTGTTGAAACTCTCCATATTTCTACCATTAAAATGCCCTGGCAGTCTCAAATGCTTTTCCAATTTGTACAGTTTCTGTGAATCACAGACATTATACTACAATGAAATACTACTTAAACAATACTAAAGATTCACATCAGTTAAGATCAAGACCAGATTAATGACTTCCAAATGATTTCTGCTTTATATCTGAGATGCCAAAAGCGCCTTGGCATGACAATGATAACAACTCTGCAAGACTTTCAATCTTCTAGCAATCTTAACCACATGGATGGAGGATTGCGGCAGGAAAGACTAATTAAGTCATTAAACTGAAAGTTTCCACTTGCATCTGTCTGGTGTAAATTTTGAGATGTCTGTAAATTTATTTTGTTGGTGGTTTGTTTTTGGTTTTTTTTTTTTTTTTTGTCAGAGAATCATCTTGATTTGCATTCCAACAATATTAGAAATGGATGACAGTTTTAAAGCAAAACTGACAAATTGATCAAATGCACATTTTCCTTCATACAAATGATTTGAATCTGATCCTACTCTTAGAAATGGGCTTCTTTTTATCAATAAAGGAGATGAACACTTACCTGTATATGTATACTTAGCGCTCCTTATCATGATATAAACACTTTCTGACCATTGCATCTTAGGATCCTGTCAGTTTATTTCAGGCTGTCTCAAGTCTCCAAAAGTCAATAGAGCCTATTCATTAATTCAAAGCAATTTTTATCAAAGCTAGAAAATTTGTAAGAAAGAGGTGATTTAAAGTATGCACATGAGGGGGTTTTTTGGTGGTTTTTTTTGGTTTTTTTTTTGTTGTTGTTTTTTTTTTTTTTTTTTTTAGTTTCTACATTCTTTTGAGTTGTTGAAATATGATGTCTGGAAACAAGAAGTTATAAAAGATGAAAATGGAAGGTGTAAGAAAGCACCCAGAGGTAAGGAAAAATACTAGTTATCCATTAACCTAAAGGTAACTCAATTTAGATGGTCATATTTCTGTGATCAACAGATTTTTGACATACACCTAAAACTTGAAAATAGAAAAAACAGGAAAATAGATCCAAACAGGGATCTGTGGTTAATATATGCAATCATATATCCAAATATTTATAAAGGAAAGAATATTTAGAAAAGAAAGTATTACAATCATAATTGTAAAGAAAAAAATACAATCATATAAGAACATTAGTAATATTTGGGACCCATAATATTTTTATTTTCACTTGAGAAGCACTTCTTCCTATTCCTAGAAAAATCAGATGTTTTAGTGCTTCTTTTTGAAAAAAAAATACAGCAATTCCTCAATATGTTGTGCCATCTGAGGCCAGATGTTTAAAGATGCTTTCTAAGTTTCAGATTTAAAATTCTGAGGAAGAACAGAAAATTTTCAAATGGGGATCATATTTTTGTATTTAATGACAAAACGAGATTTATCTATTTAGTACCTAGAGTTGCACAGTCTTTCCAAACTCCTACTTAAAATGGAATACTCCATTTTCAAAGCTTCAGCTCTAAAGAGTTGAAGCTCCCAGACAGAAAATAGCATAGCTTCTTAGTTGAGAAATCCTGAAAATTGAGTCTCACAAAAGACAGCACTGCATTTATCGAAGCCACATCTAATGTTCATGTACCTGTGTACACATGCATGAATTCATCTCTGACAAAGTTATCAACTCTGGGGAAAGGTCTTTAACATCACTAGTTTTAGTATGTAGATTTAATTATCATAGAGATAAAAATACTGTAGGTAGAAGAGAAGCTTGTACAGATGACCTAAATTATAATAGTTATGATAATGCCAAATCTCAATGACACACAGTAGTACTGGTCATCAAATCAGTAATTATTATTGCTTTTCATTGATAATATAATATAATAATATAATTAATATAATATAATGTTATGTTATAATTATTATATATGTTCTATTCTATTCTATTCTATTACATTACATTTTCTAGTAGTAGTACTGGAAAAAAAAAGTAGCAATCTTCTATTATTTCTGATAAAATATTATTTGCTGATAATGTCCAAATCAAGAAAAATATTTATTCTTTTTTCTTGAAAAGAGCTTGCTTCTCACTACAGTTACATTAGAAAATGCACAAAAAATTATTGGGTTCTCAGTGAAATTTATAAAATTCCCAGTTTCATGACACTACCGGCAAAATTTTGCAGGTTGTTACACGTATTTTTTAGATAACTCTGAAGCTGTCACTTGATGCAATGTGAGATAGTAATAACAGTAAATGTACAAACTGGACTAGAGGATCCTCCTGTAAAAATGACTTGGGGTTAGAGCAACTCCTTTTATAAATCCAACATTTTTGTTTGGTGTTCTTCTGTAATAAATTATGCATTGTATTTGCCAATTCCTCTTCTGAAAGGTAGTATGAGCTTTCATACTATTTTCTATATTGAGTGTTCAAAAAATGAAGAGGATTACATTTAAGATGCAGAAATACAGCTATGAAGAAAATTATTTGTTTGAAAACATCTCCTTACATCTGCTGAAGGAGCAAAATAAGTTTTTCGAAGATGGAAGTATCTTTTAACATCAGGAGCACATTGAGAAAAAAAGCCAGTACTTACCACTGATAAAGAATAATAAAAGAAACATGTTTAAAGGGTATTCTGAATCAAGTCCAGTGAAGTCAATGGAAGTTTTGTCCTTGTTATAAATAGGACTTAGACAGGCAGCAACAAGGAGTGATGCCCAGTAGGGATATGCTTCAGGCTCCAGAGATTCCTTGATGATCAGGGGCGCACACTGGGGCTTACAACTTGTTTTGTCACACCAGTGCACCAGTGCTCGGGCAGTAGCATCCCCATCCTCTGGAAAACCTCAAAGCCCTCAAAGATCTTAGGTACTATACATTTTGCCTCTACATGTATTGTTTGACAACCATCGCCCTTTTCAAATTACAGATAAATAAGCTTTTCAAAGGGTAAACACTTACCAGATAAGTGATGTACAACACACTCCAAAAATCTCTTCCCTATGGTGCAGATTTTTGGAAGAGAAGAAAGCAAAATTATGTTCCCTTTTCCACTCACTCATTTCTTCTGTTCAGGGAAGAACTAAGGTAACATAGCAATAAGACACACATGTCTTATTGCTATGCTACCTTAGTTCTTCCCCATGTGGCTTTCCAAAGGATTTTTAATATGATAATTTTTGCTCTTAATAGCCCACTCTATATATGTTTATTTGCATCCTCTTTTCATGGCCTGCAGGTAAACCTGGCCTTCTAGTTTTTCAAGTTACTGATGATGGCCCATTTTCTGGATATGTTGGAAATAAAGAAGCCTCAGAGAAGAAACTCCTGCGTAATGTGTTTGTGGAAGGAGATGTGTATCTTGACACAGGGGACCTCCTAGTGATGGATGAGGATGGGTTCTTCTACTTCACTGACCGGGTGGGAGACACCTTCAGGTACAGCACAAAGTTAAGAGTAAATCCAGGGAGCTTGGAAGAAATCACACATACGCAGGCCTGGATTACACAGGTCAGACTCAAACATGATGAATGTCAACTTTGTTTAAACAAAAACACTAAGGATAGGATTCAAGTCCACCAAAATTCACTCCAACATAATGGAATTTTTAAAATTTTTAAAATTTCGTGCTTCTTGTATCACTGGGATCTCAAATGAGATGGCACTAAACCAGAAAAAACTTTGTCTGTCCATCTACTTTCTTCAGTTAAGAATGTAGCCCATGTTAAAAGTCCTCTGTCACATACAGAATAAAACATGTGTTAGCTAACATCTATATTAATATAAGAAATATTTTTCAACAGGTGGAAAGGAGAAAATGTTGCCACTTTAGAAGTTGCAGAGATCATTGGCATGATGGATTTTGTCCAAGAAGTTAACGTTTATGGTGTCAGCGTAAAAAGTAAGATATTCCCTATAATTTAAGAACATATAAAAGGAAGATTGTAATTTCTTACTGTAACTTTTCTGTTCTTGTACAAGTACATGTAAGGATATAAGTGGTTTCAGCTTGGTAATTCAGGCTTTTCTACAGTGTTTTGAGATTTCAGTTTCAGCAAAATACTGCATTTAATAAATATGATGTGCTGAAATTTTGTAATGAATGGAAGAAAATTTGGATAAATTAAAAGTTGTAACACAGAAGTGAGAAATATTAAGTGAGAAATCCAAGTTATGAACTACACAAGACTTCTCTTAGGTTACAAGCTTTCATCTGAAAAAGAGTAAGATAGAGTATATTAAAAGATAATGTCCGAAAACAGTATCTTATGAGTACTGTCCAAGAACACATATATTTTTTCATAACTGGAATGTTCTCAACTATGTATGATGCTTCATAAAAATGTACAATATCATGCTGAAAAGCTGTAGGAAACCAAATGACAAAATTTAAAAATTTCTCAGAAGATGCAGCCATTGGAGGAACAGGTTGAGGAAGACAAAGTTTTTGTGGTGTTGAGTAACTGTTCATCATTTCCTTTGGAGGCAAATAAAGTCTAGTATTAAAAGAAACTAGTCACATGAAGAAGAAGCTGTCAACAGACAGCACTGAGAGATGGGAAACACAATGGGTTCAAAGAAAGAGGATAGATAAAAATAAAATTAAAAGGCCATCATCTGAATGGTTGATCAGCAGGTGGCAGTCATGCAGTGCATACAAATAAAACTGTAGGCTAATGTTCAAAGCATCTCTCATTATCATCTACAGCTGGAGCTGATGGGAGCTCCTCGAAAGGGTTATTGCTGCCTCAGGCAGTAAATAGCACATAGAAAAAGGCCTCAAGATTCACATCAATTTTCGGTTGTAGTGTCAATAACATCTAGATAGCATGGTCTTTCATATTTCTATATAGACTTGAGTCTCAAATATTGCCATAACAAACTTCACAGCATATCACCAGTTCAGTAACAGCAGATTCATTTTCGGGGAAAGGAATAGCCATATTTTTTTCTTTCCAGTGCCTTTAGGCAGACCTCAAGGCTGCTCTTTTTTCCTGAACAGATTAAATTGTGGCAGCTGATTTCTTGCAACTTAGATGTTTTCTCCACTTAAAATTTTTACTTGCATTTCAATAAATAGAATGCAGGAACTATGTCTGGTACATGTTTTTGAAAAGGGTTTTGTTTCAGTTTGTGTGTCAAACATAATTTGATGCCTGAATTTACTAGGAGTCACTTACCTTTTTTGTCACAAATTTGTCTGTGGGATAGAGTGCAAAGCACTCAGCCTTTACAGTGTACAATAGGTGTTTATACAGAACAAGTACAGCCTCATACATGTCTATATCCATCTATTGCATTAGTCTTTGTGTGAGTGCATTCAGGTTTGGTTTTTGTTTTTTTTTAAAATTATGCTCCCTCTGATTTAATTAGGCCATTATGTTACCATGTTCAAGTAGGAATAAACCTAGCATGCAGTTTCCAGCTACAGAGAATTCCCAATAAAAAGACATCAGTGACTTTTTTTAACTGAAAGTAACTTTTTAAAGTTTTCCAATACCATGTATAAATAAAATAAGTAAAGTAAATAAAATATTATATACCTTATAAATAAAATATCATGTACTTTATACTCAGTGATGTCCCATAAAACAGGATGGATATTTCACTATATCAATTTATTTGTTCTGAATATTACTAAATCTCCCCAGATGTTGTAAAGCATTTACATATACTCTTACTTGTCATACTATTTTTCAATTTTCTTAGATTATGAAGGAAGAACAGGGATGGCAGCTATTGTGCTTAAACGTTACTACAATTTTGATGGAGAAAGACTTTATAAGCATGTTGAGGACTTCCTTCCAAGTTATGCCCAACCACGCTTTGTAAGAATCATGGTAAGACCATCAGGTACCTCCCACTTGTATTTATCTTCTGTCTGACTTGAAAATTGGTCTCTTCAACCATGTAATGCAGAATGCATTTTACAAACTGTTTCAATAATTGAAAACAAAAGGAAATAGTAGCCTAAATTACTGTTCCTATGATTGTTACTATGATGAATTTTAGCAAATATATGATGAATTAAGCTTCTATTTTGTTTTATGGATCCATCCATACCTAAGAATCCTAGATGGGATTAATAACTTGGCTGTTGGATTTTGCTTCAAAGTTCTTTAACCAGTGTTTTCTTCTAGTCAATAGAAGACTAAGCAAACACATGCATAGCCTTACTCATAAGAGTGTCTTCTTATAACAGGGTGACATGATCCATTTCAAACCTCTCCTGATGTGGCTGTTTTTGAAGTGATTATTATCCACTGTTACTGACAAGGCACTAAAGAAATACTCAATTATTTACAACAGATAGTAAGAGAAAAGTTTTATGAAGATTTCTTAATGTGAGAATTAAAATGCTCTCACATGTTGTACGGTACAAAAGCAGAACTGGGATACAATTCTTTTTTAACATCCACTTTAAAAGTATCCCTTCACAAGGATTATACCCCTTGTGAACAGCCCACAGGCCGATCTGCAACCAGGCAGGAAAGCATGAACTGCAAATGGTAGGAGAAGGCTCCACATGACATCATCCGAAAGTTTGTAGCTCACAGTTTTCTACTGTTAGGGGATGCTGAGAGGGATTTGGCAGTTTTACCTTTCCTTATATACTGATAAGTTGTCGAAAAGGTACAAATTTAAGAATTTAGAGATTGAGAAAACCTTTTTTTTTTTCACTGACAGATTACTGTACTAAGCAAACGTACCTTCACATGCAGCAAGAATAGATTATACTACCAATGACACATAAGGACATAAGTGGTGTCTTCTGGGAAAAGCTTTTAGAACACATCTGTCTTTATAGTTCCACTAGACTGAGCACATTTATACAGAACTCTAAGATTTATATATGTGGAACCAATTAAACCTGTTTGCATTTATGTGTTCTCTGACAAAATCTTTTTTTAGGTAACTGAGGAGGAGCCAAAGTAAACGAGGTTACTAGCAGTACTAATTAACTAATATTTGCACGTGTGCAAATTTTTATTAAAGGAGATAAATTCAATTTTATTTTTTAAAAAAATCAAAATGAGAAAAAATTGTTGCTGCTTTATGAAATGTCTTAGGGGAGTATAACAGGATGCATTCCGAACTCACAATGTTCTGTTTGGAAGAAAATTAATTCCTTCTCTAGGTCCTGAGAAAGAGGTCACCCTAATCAAGAGTGACAAACAAATACTTGAAATCCTCATGCAATATTAGATTAAAAACAAAATCATTCTTGAAAAATTTTCAGCAGTCCGTATGTAAGTTTTTTCTAATATGACTTGCAATTATGATTGACTGGTTTTGTGCAAATCAGACAGACTGGTTTTCTGTTCTCAGTATCTCCTACTTGATTCTAAAAAAATAGCAGAGACACGGGGACAAGGATGCAAAAAAACAGGGAAATCTGGGGCTCTGTTATGTTTTCCACCTGAGTTTTTTAACTTCCTTCCAACAAGAACTAAAAAGTGGTTCTTTTCAGCATGGGAACAAAAACAAAACGTTCACTACATTGAAAACACCATATAAGTAATAACAATGCTTGAGAACAGTCTGTTCTAAACTTTTCTCTTAATGTAAACAATATTTGAAAGGCGATTTATTTATATACCACTTCTGCTTCAATACACCAACCATTTCTGCAGAACAACTTGTTCGTGAATTGGCATTTTAATAATTGCTGTATAGAAACTCCTTATACAGGCAAATAAGACAAGAAGACATTTAACATTGTTGAGTTTAATGTCTTAAATTAAGTTTAGCAGTAGGAAATCAGAAGAGAGCCAATACCACAAAATCAGTCAGCTATTTGCAGGGCATCACCGAGTGTTCTGTACTCTGCTGATTTTGTGGTGGACTGCCCTAAGGAATGTTAAAAGAAAATGCATATGTTGAAACAGAAACTTGCCATCTTGTGTGTTGCTTTAGTAGGAAAATGAATAAGAAATAAAATATTCATTTCGATTTAGATTTCACTGTGCTTGTGAATCTGAGAATTGTTTAACTGAAGAAATTGTATAGTGAATTGTATGGTCTCTTTTATTCAGTAAGTACATCATAATTTCACTTATATAGACTGAAATGGAATATTGCACCTTACTTGAATTATTTCTTTTGTAGGATGTTATGCAAATTACTGCAACTTTCAAGCATCAGAAAATGCATCTGGCAAATGAAGGATTTAATCCAGAAATTATATCTGAACCTCTGTATTTCATGTATGAACCTGCACGTTCCTATATTCCTTTGACAAGAGAGATATACCAGAAGGTGGTTTCTGGTGAAATACGTTTATAAAGCATAGAAATAAAATTACTCTATAATACAGAAAATTTCAGATATACTCCTGAAACCATTTCAGCAGGAGCCATATGCAATATTTGTTTTAAAAATGCAAGAAATTCAAATTAATCTTATAGTATTCAAATCTGTCGCTTCCAAAGATACAGATACAATAGTTATGTGCATTGTGTAGCCTGCACTGCATCTGCTCATATTATTTCCTCACACATGGGCTCACATATACAAATTTTAATTTTACATTTCTCACTGATTCAAATTATTTTTGTCTAAGCCACCATTATCTTAACCTAGCTGAATACTTTACACACCTACATTTTATTCTGACTCTGCTTCTAAAATGAATAAATAATTAGATCAATAATGTCCAAGGCATAAATAAAGTGAGCCATCAGAGACATAAGCAAAATACTGCACAAGCACTGCATGTAGACCTCAGTTCAATGTTTGATAATTATGTAACAATGTAATATTTAATTGCAGTATTTTATGTGATGCTCAACTTCAGACTTCTATGGAAAATAAACATTCAGAGGTGAAATATACTTGTAGTATTTAGTGTACATTATTTTCCACTATTTACACCAGAACACAGATTATTTGCAAAAATTCATGCTTGATGGTACATTATGTCTTCTTTTACTTACCAGCTGTCATATTCCTGAAGCTGAGTTCTCATGAAAATGGGACAAAATTTACTACAGCTTTTACCGGAACTGAACACCTAGAAACTCTTAAAAGGATTTAGAAAGTTTCAAAGCCAGAATTAGATCAGAGAATATAATATTAGCATACCTGCTGGATGTGCTTTCCTTGAGTAGGCATATCTGATTTAATTTAAAAATCAAACAAGTCTGCACTTATGTAAGGTAAAACCTCCCTACTGTACGATTCCCTGGATTCATGTGAACTTTTGCCTGGATTAATAAAATATCTGTACTATAAAGCTAATGCTCATCCCAGTTAGAGCCTTACACACTTGCGTGATTTCCCCAAGCACAAGACTTATTTTTTCTTGGTTTTCAGTATGTGCTATTACTACCACTTCTAACTCTGCTACTTCTGCCATAATGCAGTGATGCAGGTAAGTGACCCAAACACCTTTGGTGCATTGTAGGGCACAGGACACACGCAGCCCCACACCACAAGAACTCATCACCTAAAGTAAGGAACAATTTAACTAACAGAGAAACTCTGTTGTGACCACAAAGGTCCAAACCCCTTGGTGAATACCATGTGTCTCTCAGGATCCTCTGCCATTCCAAGTCAGGAGAAGCGTGTGTGACAGAAGCAGGCGCAGCTTGAGGTCTGGAAGGCAGTAAATGTGCTCAGAACTGGACAGATGATACCAGATACACCTAGGACACACTAACATCTCCTATGAGACAGAGGAACTTGGAGTGAGAGAAGCAGAACTGCAAATAAAAACCTTTACTTTTAAGAATTGTCCATTTGTGGACTAGGAAGAGTACTGAACAACATACAGGTTTGAGGAAGGCCCAAGGAATTTCAATGGTTTGAATACATTATGGGACCCTATAGCATCCAAAAAGTCTCCTTTGACTGAGGCAGTAAACTTCTTATGTCTTGCCAAGTTTCTGGGAATCCTATTACCTAGAAAGGAAGGGATTGGTTATTCATGACTGTTGTATGTAGTGGTTTCTCCAACTACTTCTACTGTGGTCTTCTAACACATGAAACAATAGTGCTCACCTAGAACTCTTCTTATAAGCTGACATGTTATTTCCAAAATGTCAATAATTTTCAAAACATGACATAATATTGAGACAGCTCTGAATTGGCCACTATAAACAAAATACTTGTATTTTTCCTACTATCTAAAGGTTTATATAACTATGAATACATATAACACTTGAACATGTAGAACATTGAACTTTATGAGGACTATCCCTATATAACTGCTGTTATCAATACACTTAATTAAGTTTACAACATTTACAAAGCTCCAAAAGCCTCAGAAAAAAGTGTCATTTTCTCCCATTATTTGTATTAAGGAGATGTACAATAAACTACTGTCTTACTGCCTGTTATTTCTTCTTTTCTCCTTCACCTTTTTACTCTCTACATTTAATTCCTTACCAACATTTATTCTTCAGGAAAGGTTAAAATAGAGCACAAGACAACAATCACATTTACCAGGATCTAAGTAGGAGAGGGTTGAGGAATGGGTCTCTTACACCACAAAATTACTGTGGTTTCAAGATCCAGAAGAAATTTCCATGCTTGTGCAGAGAAGGATGACTACCTATAACTCTTAAGCATCTAAATCCTTTTCTTCCTCACCTGTTGTTATAAGTTGTTTTTTGGGCTTTCGATGGTGTAGCTTCCTTTCTTCATTTCCACAGAGCAGAAAAAGAGGATATGACAAGAAAACTAAGAAAGTGATCAACTATTTTTGATACAGAATTTTAAAACCTAAAATTTTAGAGTATAACCCATTTATACCAGTCAATAAAGTTGTCTTCCACACAGAAGACACAATTGGAGAAATCAATGGGAGGGAAGAAAAAGAGCAGCAACATTAAATGAAATCTGGCTTTAATGCTGATCCTATACTTACAAGGCTCTCCAAGTTTACTCAGTCCTGTGAGTGGCTATTCCTCTCTGGAAGGGCAAACTTTTTTAATGTTAAAGTCCTAGATCAAATGTTCCACAAAGCAGAATGCAGATTATGCCTTCTAGTCTCCTATATTACTCTATTTTGAACCAAGACACAGAAGCTTTCATATCTGACAGCTACTAAAAAATGAATTGGGATAATATTCTCTACATAGTATAATAAGAAGCATAACGTTATATATTTACTATAAACTGTATAGTTTATAGTAATATATACTATAATATATGCTATAATATATAATATATACTATATATTATATATATAGTATATATAGTATACTATAACATATAATATATAGTATATATATACTGTATAATACTAAATTTAAATAAATAGCTAACACTTCAAAATTTACTATGTTTTTTTTAAAAACCACAAACTACCAATAATCTCTTACATCTACAATGCTTTATTTAGGACAAGTTCCTTCTTTTTTTTTGAAGTACTTCACTTCTCTGGTGCTTATGCTACTAAAAAAGCATTATAATTACCTAAGGTATAATAGTCAGGTTCAGAGTTAATGCAAATATACATATATATAATATTGTATTGTCTGGATATTAATGTCTCAAACCCCCTCAAAATGAGGTTTGGTTTTTTACATTAACAAAGCATTTCAGTATTTGGTGTATGTTTCTTTGCTACAACGAGATGTCATAGGGAAATTTTTTGGTTTTATCTAATCACATTTTTTAAAAAAACTTCACTCTGAATGTCACATGGGGAAAATTAAACTGTTTTACATTTTCTTATTGGGTCATTCCATACTCCAAGGAATCATATTGTTTTGAAGGGAAATCGAGTATAATAATTACAGCACAATAAATAATTCATGGCACTATGGTATGAGTTTATGAGTTCTACATATGTCAAGAATAAAAATTATTCCAGTTAATGGCATGTAACAAGAAGCCAAATAACAGATATATTTTTTTGTTATACTTTGGGGGTTTACTTATTTAAAAACAAATTTAAAAATACATTTAAAATATAAGAGGTTTTAGAGACCTTTTAGAGATAACCTTCAGTACCTCCTTATAAAGGTTTCTTCACAATATGAATTTGCCACTTGCAAGTATGTGTTATTAGCAGTTTCAATCTCACAACAGCACACAATCTTCCCCAGACTTCTTGTCTCATGCAGTGTGGCATGTGGCAACTTGAACTTGCTTAACAGCTCAGTAGCCTGTGTTGCACTTACTGCCCTATGCATGCAGTTAATTTTGTCTTCACTGAGGATAGTAATTACCTTACATTAATTGAAATAATTCATTTCTTTGTAAGCCTTTCAAATCCCATGCAACTTACTTAAAAAATATTAATAAATATGCATACATCTGCATTGGATAAAAGTACTGAAATTATAGAGAACAAAAGTACTGAGGGCAAATTTAACCTATCTCCTAACTATAAGGGCTAAACCAGCTACCTAAATTGAAGCATCTTAGTACCCTTGATGAAACATCCGCATGATGTTTTTGAGTCCCACTGCACACTTCAGTTTAATTCACTTCAGTATGAGCACTTCATAAAAAATCGAGATTGAAGGAAAGGCTTCGGTAAGAATGTCACAGGAGTGGGTACTTCTAAATGGTGGTTATGGGAGATAAGCGTAGAATCGCCCTTTAGCTTCCTGAAAATTTCAGCCTTGAGATATATTTTGAAAGATATCTATTTGCAAACAAAAAATAATTAAGTATGAACGCTGAATTTATTTTAAAACATAGTTTTTAGAGAGATTAATACTATTAAATACTGGAAATTATCAGTAAGGCAAAATGAACAAAGTAGTCCTCATACCTGGTTGAATAGCATCTCAGAAAGAAATAGCTTTATATCAGAAAGGACAAATCTAGATAATTACTGCTTTCTCACATTTAAAAATAAGTTATAAGACTTCTACTGGAAAGATTTTACACTGCCATAACATTACTTTTTAATTATTAATTTATAATTTGCTAAATTTTAAGGCATATTACACTTCAGGCAGCTAAATAACATCACAAAACAATCTTATTTCCTAACAAAATAATTCCGAATTTTGATACTTTGATATTTACTTACAGTAAGGTATTTGAAGCCATAAAATATGTCTCATCTCACTCTAAGTGAGATTAAAAGCTGGATACTTTTAAGAGTGCTTAGATGTATGTTATTGGACGTCACTAAAACTATTTGAATAAGCTTCAAAATATGTAAGTATTTTTATTTTTTCTACTACATGAAAAATAGACAGACAAAGAAACATCAGCTAAAATTCCCACTGAGAGCTTGAAAGTATGACAGGACATGTATGTACGTGCAGCTGACCATTCTAGAAGGACTTATTTCAGTTTTTTCTTGGTCCACCTAATTT